GCCAATCCGCCTCCAACTCGCACACAGTCCCGGCAGCACGCCTACGGACCCCACGACAACGTCTCGACCCGCCCCGGCTCCGCCGGAACTCGTCGCCGCCGCTCTTCCAGATCAAGTCCAAGAACGTCCATTTCTCGCTCATCCCGCAACCTTTCGGCTTCGTTCCAGTTTCTCCTGACTCAACACATGCCCCTCCATCTGTCTAACCTCCTCGCTTTGAACCACACTCACTTGTCCCTGTTCTATTCCATTTCTTGACCTTCTCTTCCTCTCGCTCACTTCTGGCTCGCCATCCGCCCTATCTGTTCACCCCACTGACTTCCACCCATCAGTACATACCCGCTTCTACCGTTCTGCGCTGTGGCAGCCAGCCTCTGCCGGTCTTCATGGGCTTAGACCCGAACTGACTTGAAACTAGAACTTCTCTCTCTCTCTCTCACGGCGGCAGCGACTTCGGGGCCGTTCTTGAAGGAGGGAAGTTCCCTGCGGGTGCAATGTGTCAGCAAGTAAGTCACCCTCAAGTCGAGTATGCAGCCCCGGCGCTACACGCACCTGCGAAGCCATACGGAGTTGAAACCCGCGTTAGCGAGGGCTCCTCTACTTCCGCAGAGTCGGAGAACGCACCGTTTTCGCCCTCGCTGCGAGCGCCCTCCAGCAAGCTCCACCGCACCAACGCAACGCCATCAACCGGCGCCTCCGCTCCCTCAACCTCCGACATGCACCTCGTCGCCGAGTCCCCCCTCTCGCCAACGCTCGCGGCCCGCCGCCAAGACGTCCCGGCCCCCTCCTTCCTCGAGTCCAAAACCACCAGCGGTATCTGGTCACACATCCCGACGCCGCTTGCCGACCGCCCAACCCAGTACCGTCCCATGCCCATCATCGACTTCGAGTCGACTGCGAACGCGGCGGACAGGTCGTGGGCGGACGAGACCGAGGACGAGTTCCCGGTAGTGAGGGCGAAAGAGGTAGTTGGAGAGAAGAAAGAGGAATGGCGAAAGGTCGACCGAGCGAAGAAGGGGAAGGGGGTGAGGACAACAAAGACGGCGCCGCCGGTGAGGAGCGAGCGAGGAAGCGAGGGCGAGGCGAAGAGGAGGGTGACGTCGAGGGCGCGGCGCATCGCTGCACCAGCACCAAAGGAGAAGAGCCTGTCAAGGGGACCGAGTCAGTCGCGCTCGGAGTCTCCCGACCCCCTCGACCTCCTCTCCCCTCCCCAATAAATGAAAACACTCACAATCACCTCCTACAACATCAACCGCTCCAAAGAAAACCTCCTCCGCCTCCGCAAAACCCCCAACCTCACCACCACCGACATCCTCCTCATCCAAGAACCTCCACACCCACTCAAGCCCTTCGACGACCCCAACTGGCGACTCGTCACACCTCCACCGACCTTGCTACCCGATGGCGAACCCGCGCCTATTCGCAACCTCATCCTCCTCTCGACCCGCCTCGGTCCGGCCACTGCGACGCAAGTCGCGGTTGATTCGGGCGACGTCGTGGCAGTCAATGTTGAGCTGTTGGAGGGCAAGAAGATCTGCATCGTCAGCATGTACAACCCGTGCAATGAACGAGGGAAGGAGGTGAGATACTTACCCTACAACCACTCCGTCTCAACCATCCTCCCCCCGCTCCTCGACTCAACCCCCGCCTCCTCACTCGTCGTCGTCGCTGGTGACTTTAACCTATCGCACCCAGAATGGGACAAGTTGGCAGCCGACCCAGACGAAGCGGCGGAGGAAGCGGTGCGTACCTTCATCCAGCACAACCTCACGCACTATCTCCCGCCCAACACCATCACGCACCACCCCCACAACCCCGAGCATCGCAAGAAACCCCTCGACCTTGTCCTCGGCTCGCTGCGCGCAGTAGAACAAGTCGTCAGCTGCGGACTCGCCGAAGACCTCGAGTCCGGGTCCGACCACCGCCCCGTCCGACTTGTTCTTGCCCTCGAGACCACCACCTACTCCCCATCACCTCGCCGCGCCTTCCGCCGGACGGACCCTGACCTCCTCGAACGCGCCTTCCGGGATGCAATCGTCCACCTCCCGGCCTCCCTGCTTCTCACTGCCACTGACGTCGATCAGCGAGCAGACGAACTCACCAACGCACTCCAGATTGCCATCTCCACCGCCACGCCCTTTGCCCGCGCCCGAGCCGGCCGAATCGTCCCGTGGTGGGACAACGAGCTCGCCATGTCGAGCAGGGCGGCGAGACGCGTGGCGAATCGAGCGTTCAGGATTCGAGGCGTCATTGGCCGCAGAACCGAGGGAGAAGAGGCGTGGCGCGAGAAGCAGAGACGAAGGAACGAGGTGAAGGCGATGATGAGGAGGAAGAAGGAGGCGTGGGAAGAGAGGGAAATGGCGGCAGTAACGGAAGCGACGCTGTGGTCGACAGTCAAGAAACGCGTCAGCAAATCCGGCTCAGCTAACACCACGACCCCGCCGCTACGGAAGGGAGATGGGACATACGCGACCTCCGCCCTCGAGAAACTCGCCCTTCTCCGACCAATCCTCCTCCCCACCGTCTCTCCCAACTCTCCCAGCACACCCACACCCACGCTACCCGCCGCGAGCCATCAGAGCCGAATTCCGCCGCCCCGCAATCTTGACATCCCAACTTTGCGCCGGCCCGAACCGCAACCTGCGAAGGGGGGAGAAGGGAGGAGAGTCAGCGGAATGCAAGTAAGCCCCGAGTTTATTGCCTACCCCGCTACTCGAAAGGCAGACGACCGCCGCGCAAGCGAGCCAGAACGCACCTCCGCAGAAACGACCACGATGACGACGGCGACGACAACGGCGGCGACGAAGAGGGCAGCGAAGAAGGCGGCGACGAGGATGGCGGCGACGACAAAGACGATGACGACGAGAATGGCGACGACGAGGGCGGCGACGGCGAACGACGAAACGAAGGGAAGGGGAAAGGCGAAGATGACGGCGAGGCCGGGGACAGTTCCTGAAGGTGAGGAACGTCAGCAAGTACGTTCCCACCATTCGTATCGCAACCCTCAAGGGGCTACGCGCACGAGTATCGACGGAGTTGAAGCCCGCTTTCGCGAGGATCTCCCCAACTCCGCAGATGACGTTGGGAACGCACCTGTCGACCCGCCCACGCCATCCTTGCCCTGGCCGGAGCTGCATGAATGCGAAGTATCGTCAGCTATCCTGCAAGCCCGCCCCTTTGCCGCCTGTGGCCCCGACAACATCCCGAATCACGTCCTCCAGCTCCTCCTGCCACTCCTCCTCCCGCACCTCGTCCCCCTCTACCGCGCCTCGCTTGCCCTTGGCCATGTCCCCCAATCATGGCGCGATGCCTCCTGCGTCGTCCTCCGCAAGCCCAAGAAACCCGACTATCGAGACCCGAAGGCGTACCGGATGATCGCTTTCGAGCGCTGCGTGGCGAAAGGACTTGAGCGAGTTGTCGCCGCCCGACTGTTGCATCTCGCCGAGTCGTACGGACTGCTGCCGCGGTCGCACTTCGGCGGACGTCGTCGTCGCTCGGCGGAAGATGCGGTGGTCTGCGTCGTCGACGAGATCAAGGGTCAGTGGCGGAACGGCAACGCGGTTGTGGGCCTCGCCCTCGACGTCTCCAAAGCATTCCCGAGTGTTCAGACGGAACGACTCGCCACGAACCTTCGAACCCGCGGCCTGCCCGAACTCGCCTGCGCCTGGATCCGCTCCTTCCTGAGCGACCGGTCGTGCACCCTGCAGCTCGAAGGCATCGTCAGCAAGTCAATTGAATGGACGAGTGGACTCCCGCAAGGCTCACCGTTATCGCCCATCCTCTTCCTCACATACAACGCACCCCTACTCGACGCCTGCGAAACGTCGACGATTTGCGGATTCGGCTGTATTGACGACGTCAATGTTCTGGCGTGGGGAAAGACGGTAGACGAGGCAGTCAGCGCGATGAACGAGATCGTGCCGAGACTTGAGTCGTGGTCCGACTCGCACTCGTCCGCCTTCGAACCGACCAAAACCGAGGCAACAATCTTCCTCCCTCCCGCCCGCCCAATCCCCTCTAAACCTTCCCGCGGCATCCTCCAAGGTCATCAGGTCCAATTCACCCCGTCCCTGACCATGCTGGGAACGAAGCTCGACTCACGATTATCCTTTCGAGACCACATCTCCGCCTGCGCCGCCCGCGCCACCACCTCGACGACTGCCATCTCCCTCCTCGCCCGCTCGAAAGCCGGCCTCGCGCCGAAATGGGCGCGGCAGCTGGTTGTGGCGTGCGTATGGCCGAGGCTGATGTGGGCTGCTGCCGCATGGTTTGTTGGCGGCGTCGCGTTGCCCTGGGGCTCTCGACCTGATGGAGAGGAGAGTAAGACGACGATTGCAAAGCTATACACGAATCGCTAACGAACCTGGTGGAGAGGAGAGTAAGACGACGATGAAGAAGAAGAGAGAGAGAGACCCGGAGAGTCCTCGGAGGTGAAGTCCGCGTATATAACGAGTGGAAACGAAGAGAGACTATCGAAGTGGGTATCAAACCATCACAGAGACGCTCCTAAGCGATCCACCGCGCAGACATATCCTTCTTCCGCCGCTCGACTCCTCCCCAACACTCCTCCTCAACGCGATCCCCAAACCTTGCCCTCCGGCCATCCGACGAGGCCAAGCTTTGTGCCGACCTTGCGGATACAACTTGCCGGGAGCGCCTTCGTAAGGTATCCGCGACGTTATCGGCGCCGGGAATCCAACGAAGGTCGACGAAACCCTTCTCGACCTGCTCGCGAACGTACTTGAGCTTGAGGTCGTGCTGCTTCCTCAATTCGATGTAAGTGGGAGAGAGGAGCGCATTGACGGCCGAGAGGTTGTCGTTGAAGAGGTGAAGGGGAGCGTCGTTGCCGATGGGGAGAGAGGAGATGACGGACGAAATCCATTCGAGTTCGCCGAGGGCGACCACGACCGCGTTGAGCTCAGCCTGGAACGTCGAAAGCTGAACCGAAGACTGGCGACGCGAGATCGTGAGAATGGTCGTCCCGTCGAGCTGCACGACGACACCGGTGGTGCTGCGGCGAGTCTCGACGTCTCCGCCGTGGTCCGCGTCGACGAAGGCAACGAGTCCCGAGCCGTCAGAGCGACTCAGGCCCATCTCGAGTGCGACATCGCGGGTGACGGAGAGGTACGCGAAGATGCGCTTGACGAGCTCCCAGTGCTTGGGGCCCGGGTTCGACGAGTAGCGACTCGCGACATCGACAGCATACTGGATATCGACGCGAGTGACAGCGATGAAGAGAAGCGAGCCGACGGCGGAAAGGTATTCGCTCGGCTTGATGGCTTCTCCATCCCACTCGACGTAGACGATACCAGGCTGGATCGGCATGTGCAACGGCTTGAGATCCTCAAAGCCGTGCTTCTTGAGCGCCCTCTCAATCTGCGACTTGACCGAAACACGAACAGAACCCGTCTGGGGGTCGTGCTTGACGTCGCGACCGAGGAAGGTCTTGCCGTCGACAGGTCCGCCGAAGGTAACGTCGAAATCCTCCTGCAACTCGCCAACGATGTCCTCGACAAGTGCCTTCTTCCCAGCAATGAGCCCGTCGTCGACGTAGACGACGAGGACGACGTAGTCGCCGCCGCGGCGCCCAATGTAAAGGGTAACGCCGTCGGAGAGCGAGACGAAGTCGAGCTGGTCAAGCTTGTCCTTCACTTTGAGGTGGAAGGCATGTCCCGACTGAGGGAGACCGTACGCCGCGCGCTTGAGCTGGTAGACATAGTCTTCGCGACCCGGAACTTCGAAGCCGGGTGGTTGCTTGACGAAGACGGTGTCGCCTCCCGTCGCGACCTGGGCACTGAGATAGGCCTTGGCGAAGTTGGTCACGTAGACGGGAAGCTTGAGGCGCGTGGCGAGGACGAAGAAGAGAGAAACGACGTCCCAGCGAGGAAGAGGGGTGAAGGTCGGACCGAACGAGCTGAGGAAGGGAATCGACTTGACGCCCTGAACGACGAGCCTCGACTTGAGCTGCGCCGTCTCGGCCTTGGGGTCGACGCGAGCGGTATGGTGCCAACGCGTCCCGAGAACCTTCATGCCAGGCTTGCGTTGGACGAGATCGCCAACGACGTCCTGCTGCTGGAAGCCGGTCCACTCCTCATTCATCCCTTCTTTCCACTCAGTAGAGTAGACCAAAGAGAGAGCCTCCTTCATCGAGGAAGGCTGCGAGGGGACCGGACGACCAGAGATTGAGAAGGTCTTCTTCGTCGCGAGAGCCGTCTGCGGAACGTTGAGGATCGCGAACTGGGTATCCTCGACCTCGCTCGGCTCGACAGCGACGTTGACGAGAGCGATGACGGCACCGGCCGGAATCTTGTCGTGGCCGAAGAAATGGTGCGTTGCCTGCTTGCGAATCCTCGAGCCGCGTCGCACCTCCTCCTGCTTCTCCTCCTCTGCCAGCCTGCCGCGGACCTCGCGGGCTCCGGGCTTAGGCGGCTGCGCCGGCTCCTCAGCGGGAGCAGGCTCCTCGATCTCCTCCTGCTGCTGCTCCTCGAACGGACGCATGCCAGCTCCTCCTTCCTCCGCGTCCTCCTCCTGCTCAACCCACGCGAGCTCCTCCTCATCATCGACATCCCTCGTCCGCGGGACGTAGTCTCCGGGAGCGAACGAGATGTTCCTCGACCAGATCATGCGGTTCGTCCCGCGGTCGTCTGCGGCCTGAACGCGGAAACCCTTGACGCCGCGATGCTGGCCGACGCCGAGAAAGATGCCCTTGTACGACTTGTCGTCGAAGGTGCCGGCGTTCGGGTCGTGAATCCAGATGTCCTGGCCGAGGATGGGAGTCTTGTTGTCGAAGAAGGGGTTGCGAGCGTGGTGGAGGAAGTGGTAGGGAGTCTCGCCGCCGTTAGGCGAGTAGGGGAGGTTGTTGATGATGAAGAGAGCGAAGAAGAAAACCTCGGCCCAATACTTCTTCGAGAGGTCGGCCTCGGAGAGAAGTGTCGTGACCTTCTCCTTGACGGTACGAACGGCGCGCTCCGAAAGTCCGTTCTGCTGAGGCGTGTAGGGAATCGAGAGACGATGCGTGATCCCTTCGCCGGCGAGGAACGACTGGAAGGCGCGAGAAGTGTACTCGGAGCCGTTGTCCGTCTGGAGGGTCGTCGACTGAGCGACCTCGACCTTGGACGACTCGAACTCAGCCTTCATGCGAAAGTAGATACGCTTGAAGGCGTCGAGCGCCTCGGTCTTGTCCTTGAGCGGTTCCCCGTCGATGTAACCCGACGCCTCGTCGCGGACTATAATGAAGTACTGAGGACCGCCGAACGAGGTGAAGGGGAACTTGCCGGCGAGGTCGGAGTGCAGGTGCTGAAGAGGAAGCGTAGCCTGACGCTCAATGATGGGAAACGGCGTCTTGGTCAACTTCCCAGTGCGGCACGGAGGGCACGACTTGGAGAAGAAGACATCGAGATCCGACGTCGTGAAGCCCTTGACCTCGCCGAGACAGAGAAGATCGCGCATCGCGGCCTTCGAAGGGTGCCCATAACGACGATGAGCGAGTTCGACGGCCTTGAGGCGCTCCTCCTGAGGAGTGGCGAGGAGGGCGAGGGTCGCGCTGACAATGTTGACCTCGGGGAGCGAGTACTTGCCCAACTTCCCATTGAGGACGACGTTGCCGTCAGACGAGACGACCTGGAACGCTCCACCGGGAGCGAACTCGAGCTTGTATCCGGCGTTGATAAACCTCGGCGCGGATATGAGGTTGAAGGACGAAGTAGGAACGTGGATGGCATCCTTGAGCTGAAGCTTGAAGCGACCCGAAGAGGTTTCGACTTCAATCTCCGCGGTACCGACACCGACTCCTTCAAGAGAAGGTCCCGAGGCGGTGACGATGGGAGTCGTCAACAGCCTGTACGAGGTGAAGTAGCGACGCTCAGCGACAATGTGTCGCGAGGCGCAGGTGTCGAGGTGCCAGTCGGTCGGAGCCTTCGAGCCGTCGAAATCGCCGTCGACTGAAGATGCGACGGTCGCGACGGCGAGGGTGACGACCTTGCCGTCCTTGTCCTTCTTGTCGTCCTTCTTTGACTTTTCCTTCTCCTTCTCCTTCCCCTTTCCCTTCGAACCGCTCTGGTTGAGACGGTTGTTCGGGTTGTCCGGGTTTTGCCAGCAGCGCTCGACCGAGTGACGAGGGTTCTCTTCTTGGCAGAACTTGCACTTCGGGCGTGGCTGCTGCTGCTGCTTCTTCCCGGACGACGACGACGACGAACCCTTCCCGACAGTGGCGGCGGCGGTCGAAGACGAAGAAGACGCCTTGCCGTTGCCGTTCAAGAGGAGACGTCCCGACGACGCTGCGGCGTTGGCGCGCCGGCGGTTGTACTCGGCTCGGACCTTGTCGAGGACCTCGCGAGGAGCGAAGGTCGACGAGTCGGCCTGGCGATAAACCGACGTCCATGCCTTCCACTCGGTGTCCGACGGAAGACCCTCGAGGATGAAGTCCGAATAGACGTAGTGGAGCGTGCTGTATTGGCTACGCTCCGCATCCGAGGCGGTATCCGGGATAGAGCGGACGAGAGGAAAGTCGATTTCGCGGGCGCGGGAGAGGATCTCTTCATGTTCGTCGAGGAAGGTGCCGACAGCCTCGAGGTTCTTGGCCTTCAGCGAGCGGATGGCGGCGAGGATGGACTGAATTGACTCTTTGTTGCCGAGGTCGAAGCGGGACGTGAGGTGAACCCAGATCTGGCGTGCGGTGAGGTCGAGAAGCTGTCCGGCGATGTTGTCGGGAAGCTTCGAGATCATGTAGTTGATTGCGCGCGCGCCTTCGAGGTCCCACGCCGCCTGCTCGGCAGCCGTTGCTGCACGCGCCGGCGCATCCGCATCCGCTGCTTGAGAAGGTCGAACCGAAGTCCCCGTAACGTGCTCGTAGACGTTCCCAGTCTTGAGCGCGCGCTCCATACGAAGCCTCCAACCCTTCCAGCCCGGTCCAGCCTCGTCGAGAGTCGAGACGTTCCTGAGGAAGAGGTAAACGCTCTGGTCGACGTTCGTAGTCATGTCGGACGAAGTCGAGACGACGGGTTCTGGCAAAGGAGAGGGCGAGGGTGATGGAGATGGAGATGTACAAGCGCGGCGAGGAGACTTGGGAGGTCGAGCCGGGGACGAGGACGGAGTCGACTGAATCTTGTCGTGGGGAGGAGGTGATTAAGTTGTCGAAGAACCGGCCGACGAAGCGCGGTCCGGAGGGCTGAACGCTCGAGCAGAACACTCCTAGGAACAACGCTGAGGGATCTGGGAATCAATCCAAGCAGATATGAGCGGTCCTTGTCGAGAGGAGGTCTGACTGCCAATCGACTGTTGGCGGCGTCGCGCTGCCCTGGGGCTCTCGACCTGGTGGAGAGGAGAGTAAGACGACAATTGCAAAGCTATACACGAATCGCTAACAAACCTGGTGGAGAGGAGAGTAAGACGACAATTGCAAAGCTATACACGAATCGCTAACAAACCTGGTGGAGAGGAGAGTAAGACGACAATTGCAAAGCTATACACGAATCGCTAACAAACCTGGTGGAGAGGAGAGTAAGACGACAATTGCAAAGCTATACACGAATCGCTAACAAACCTGGTGGAGAGGAGAGTAAGACGACGATGAAGAAGAAGAGAGAGAGAGACCCGGAGAGTCCTCGGAGGTGAAGTCCGCGTATATAACGAGTGGAAACGAAGAGAGACTATCGAAGTGGGTATCAAACCATCACAGAGACGCTCCTAAGCGATCCACCGCGCAGACATATCCTTCTTCCGCCGCTCGACTCCTCCCCAACACTCCTCCTCAACGCGATCCCCAAACCTTGCCCTCCGGCCATCCGACGAGGCCAAGCTTTGTGCCGACCTCGCGGATACGACGTGCCGGGAGCGCCTTCGTAAGGATATCCGCAACGTTATCGGCGCCGGGAATCCAACGAAGGTCGACGAAACCCTTCTCGACCTGCTCGCGCACTCCTCCCCAACATGGTTCGATCCTGCGAAGGGGAAAGACAAAACAAAGGAGTTAGTACGCGTCCACAAGACAGCAGCGATGGCGGTAACAGGCGGATTCTGCTCAGCAGCGGGAGAAGCCCTCGAGGTCGAGGCCGGGCTCCTGCCCATCCACCTCCAACTCCAAAATCACCTTTTCCGACTCGCCCTCTGCGCTCTCTCCGCCCCGCCCTCGCACCCGCTCCAGGTCCGCACCACCGCAGCCCGCCGTCGTCCCGGAACTGCCGCACACCGCTCACCGCTCAACCTAGCCCTCACCAACCCACTCCTCCCGCCCGACCTCGTCGTCGAGACAATCCACCCCGACCCGACCCCTCCTTGGTCGCCCAACCCCGCTCCCGCGGTCGAAGTCGCGCAAGGAAAGGAAATTGGGACGCACGAGCATGAAGAGACCGTTCGCGACCTTCCGCTCGGCTCCCTCCTCGTGTACACCGACAGGTCGATGGGCGAGTCTGGTGTGGTTGGAGCGGGCGTCGCTGCGAAGCTGTGGGACGGAGGCAAGGTCGTCCTGGCAGAGAAGGCGGAGGTCGAGGTCGAGCTGTGGCAGAGGGAGAGGAAGGGGATGGGTCAGTGACAAACGGTCTATACCGGCGAAGTCGAGGGCCTGCGGATGGCACTGTCCTTCCTACTTGCCACCCAGACCGCTGACACACCTCTACCCGTCCTCGTCTCGCTCGACAACACCTCCGCCCTCACCCACTCAACCGACCCGACCCCGTCATCTTGCCAGCACCTCCGCCTAGCGATCCGGCAGGCGTTCGAGGAACTCAAA